GGACACGGAGCTTTCTATTCTGCTCCAAAAAAAATGCCTCCTCTCCTTGAGAGGCTTGAAGCTGAGCGTGGCAGTGTCTCTCCTCCCGGGAAGCACCCACAACCCAAAGCCGTGGGGAAGAAAAGGCATTTTAAGGCAAGTCACACCCCGCGCCGAGGACGGTATCGATGAAAGCTCGAGGTAAAACAAACAGGCTGAGATGGAAGGTATGACCTCATGATCAGGATGATACAGCGCATCCAAAGCTGACCTTTTTGCTTCCTTTTACTGCTCGACTCTAGAAATAACCCAGGTAGCAGTGCATAATTCAATCGCCCTGGCAAGTTTATTCCCCGGCTCCGTTACAAGGGCACGGTAGGCACCAACAATAAAGTTAAAGTAAATGTCAGGAGGCCAATGAATTGCTGAAGCAGACATTTGTTCTGATCTTCCATCAAGCACAATAACTCTAATGGAAGCTAATAGAGGGTTGTAAAACCTAATACCATGATGCAAGCAGGCAAACACCCAACGTGCAGTCTGAGCACAGCAGGAGAAAGAAAAGCAGCAAGTAATAGTCCTTACTTCCCCACAGGGACATGAGAACAAGCACAGCATTCCCATACCATCTTCTCTGGCTTGGCTGAAATCCCTCCAGGGGACCTAACACCCTTCTTCCTGAGCAACTTGGATCCAGCAGGTGACAGAAGAGGGGATTTTTGGGAGACAAAGCATATTAGGATTGAAGACACACCGAGCAGGTATGAACCAAGGCTCCCAAAGCAAGGTTTCTACCCATTCGGTAAGCTGTGATGCAGCTGTGGATGCTGTGGGATGGGTGGCCAAGGAAGACCCAAGCGCTGGTTATGCTGGAAAGCTGAGCTCCAGGGTACAACCATTCACTCCCTGTCCCCACGGCACGGCTGGCTTACCGCTTCACAGAATCACACGGGGTTGGAAGGGACCTCTGGAGATCATCTAGTCCAACCCCCTGCCAAAGCAGGGCCACCCAGAGCAGGTCCCACAAGAACGTGTCCAGGTGGGGTTTGAATGTCTCCAGAGAAGGAGGCTCCACCACCTCCCTGGGCAGCCTCTGCCAGGGCTCTGACACCCTCACAGGAAAGAAATTCCTCCTCATGTTGAGGTGGAACTTCTTATATTCAAGTTTCTGTCCATTTCTTCTTGTCCTGTCCCTGGGCACCACTGAAAAAAGACCAGCCCCATCCTCTTGACACCCTCCCTTTAAGGATGGAAGGTATGACCTCATGATCAGGATGATACAGCGCATCCAAAGCTGACCTTTTTGCTTCCTTTTACTGCTCGACTCTAGAAATAACCCAGGTAGCAGTGCATAATTCAATCGCCCTGGCAAGTTTATTCCCCGGCTCCGTTACAAGGGCACGGTAGGCACCAACAATAAAGTTAAAGTAAATGTCAGGAGGCCAATGAATTGCTGAAGCAGACATTTGTTCTGATCTTCCATCAAGCACAATAACTCTAATGGAAGCTAATAGAGGGTTGTAAAACCTAATACCATGATGCAAGCAGGCAAACACCCAACGTGCAGTCTGAGCACAGCAGGAGAAAGAAAAGAAGCAAGTAATAGTCCTTACTTCACCACAGGGACATGAGAACAAGCACAGCATTCCCATACCATCTTCTCTGGCTTGGCTGAAATCCCTCCAGGGGACCCAACACCCTTCTTCCTGAGCAACTTGGATCCAGCAGGTGACAGAAGAGGGGATTTTTGGTAGACAAAGCATATTAGGATTGAAGACACACCGAGCAGGTATGAACCAAGGCTCCCAAAGCAAGGTTTCTACCCATTCGGTAAGCTGTGATGCAGCTGTGGATGCTGTGGGATGGGTGGCCAAGGAAGACCCAAGCGCTGGTCATGAGCTGCAGGGTACAACCACTCACTCCCTGTCCCCACGGCACAGCTGGCTTACCGCTTCACAGAATCACACGGGGTTGGAAGGGACCTCTGGAGATCATCTAGTCCAACCCCCTGCCAAAGCAGGGCCACCCAGAGCAGGTCCCACAGGAACGTCTCCAGGTGGGGTTTGAATGTCTCCAGAGAAGGAGACTCCACCACCTCCCTGGGCAGCCTCTGCCAGGGCTCTGCCACCCTCACAGGAAAAAAATTCCTCCTCATGTTGAGGTGGAACTTCTTATATTCAAGTTTCTGTCCATTTCTTCTTGTCCTGTCCCTGGGCACCACTGAAAAAAGACCAGCCCCATCCTCTTGACACCCTCCCTTTAAGTATTGATCAGATCCCCCCCTCAGCCTTCTCTTCTCCAGACTTAAAAAGACCCAAGTCCCTCAGCCTCTCCTCGTAAGAGAGATGCTCCAGGCCCTTCATCATCTTTGTAGCCCTCTGCTGTCCCCTCTCCAGCAGTTCCCTGTCCTTCTCTCCAGCAGGTCACTATGGACAAGGAAGCATTACTACAGGACACTTAGAATGGACATGCTATTTCCCAGCTCCTTCTCTGTTGAACAGTGCACTCAGGGTTGATGTTACTGCCAGAACTGCCCTTGACTTTGAGGAGTCAGCTTCTGGATCAGCACTGGGAGGTCACACATCCATCTCACCAGCTTAAGCTCATGTGCATCTCTCTCTCTCCAGGGGAGCAGACAGCCCCTAGCAGCACAGGAGGAAGGCTGCTTCTTCAGCTTTAGAGTGGTGCTGGAGAAAAACTGCAAGCTTGGTGCAGGGAAGTGTCCTGCCCACGGCAGGGATGTGAGAGACCAGTGCCTGATTTATAGATAGATCATTTTAAGTGCAGTGATGATTTCCAAGCCTCTTTCTTGGGCAGGGAAATCAGGTGGCTATTGGTTATTTCATGAGTAATTTAAAACTGTACGGATCCTACCGAATGCAAACACCAACACAAGCCCCTAGGCAAGCCTGGCCCTCAAAAGTCACTCCTGGAAAGTCCTGAAGTTTTGTAGCAGCTCTCCATAGAGGTTGGGCCATATATCCCAAGACCCCAGTGGATTCCCTCCCACTCAGACATCAAAAGTTTAGATCCAGAGTCATTTAGCAGATCCCCCTAGTCTTTCCACTGACTGGTGGAAGGTTCCCAAAGCCAAACATTAACTAAATTCCTCCAGAAAAATAATAACAATATATAAAAAAAAATAAATAATCGAGTCCCGGTTGTGACCCGCTGGGCATTTCTGAAAACCTGGTTCTTCAATTTTAGCCTGCTTTGAAAGCGCGCAACAAATTAAATGGGGCTCATTTGGTATGCAAATGATAGCTGGGGTTTCAAATAAAACAGGTCTAACCTTGACGGAGGTTTCATCAGTGCACGCTATTATTTCCCTCTGCTAATGGCTAACCACCAGCAGCAAGAGGTCTCCCAGCTGCCTGGCTGAATTATGGCCAGTGTAAGTAATATTAACCCCTCCAGGATAAGCACACGGGTCATAAAACAAGGGTTGCACAGCTGCTAATGCCAGCAAAGGCAGTCTTTATTAATGAGCTAGCTGAGCCTACGGCAGGAGAGCTGCCCACCCTTCCACCTGGGACAAAAGGACCGTGGGCTTTGCAATGGCTGTGCCATTGGGACTGTTTAGTATGAGGAAGAGGAGGCTGAGGGGAGACCTCATCACTCTCTACAACTACTTGAAAGGACACTGTAGAGAGGTTGGTGCTGGTCTCTTCTCCCAGGTAATTAATGACAGAACGAGAGGGAACGGCTTCAAGCTCCAACAGGGGAGGTTTAGATTGAACATTAGGAAGGAATTTTACACAGAAAGAGTGGTCGGGCATTGGAACAGGCTGCCCAGGGAGGGGGTGGAGTCACCATCCCTGGATGTGTTTAAGGGCCGTTTAGATGGGGTACTGAGGGACATGGTGTAGGGGAGGACTTTGTAGAGTAGGGGAGATGGTTGGACTCGATGATCCCAAGAGTCTCTTCCAACCTGAATGATTCTATGATTCTATGTCAAAGCAGCCCCACCTTCACTGATGTCCCCCCTGGTCTTTGGGGAGGAACAGGTACAAACACAGATGAAGTGAAGCAGGGATGATCTGGGGGCTGTACTGCTCACGATTCACGGGTTGTTGAGCCTCATTTGAGACAGGGGACAGGGAGGGGAAAGCCAAAGAGTCTCATCTGTAGGCTCACCCCATCCCCTTCACCACAAGCACTGGCTCTCCAGGAGTGCAGGGCTGCCACCGCGCAGGAGCACAGCCAGCCCACAACACTGGGACTTGCTCACTCTGGCCAAAGGAGAGGATAAATCCCCACAAATTGCTATAATAAGGACTCAGCCCACAGACTCTGTGGCGTAAACACACATCTGGTCTCTGTTTGTAATGAAGTCAGCTGCAAGCACCGCTGCGCATTAATAACAGAAACGTTCAACATAGTGCTACCAAATAAGCTCTGCTTGTCTTGAACTTCTATTGTCACGTTAATGCACTTTTAACACTGATAAATGATGAAGTGCTACAAAACATTTGTCAAGGGACTTCAAAGTCAAAAGACACGCATTGCTGTGGTGGTGTTTTCTATTCCAACAGTTCTTTTACGATTCTAGCAGAAGTTTAAAACAGAAAGTCAGAAGCACAATGCAAATATTTCATATTGAGCCTCCTTTCTTTGGTAAAGATTTCTCAACTAGACGGTTTATCCTGTGCTTGCGTGGCACGAGAAAATCCTCAGGGATGCATGAAAGGGAAAGTTTCCTTTTGCAGTAAGTCAGTATTTTCAATATGTCCATCCTCCCTCTTCCTCCTTTTCTTGCCACAAACAAGAACTGTAATTCACCCTAGTTTAATTCCACTCTCCAGACCCTCTCCTTGGCCTTCCCCTCACCCTCTTTGCCTTAATTTCCATCAGATTTTTACAGTCTTGCTTTCTCCTTGCAATTCCTGGCTATTACGCGTGGCTTATGCTTTACGTATGATTGTTGGTCACTTTGGGTTCCCTGTTGTGAAAAGAGCCAGGGAGCTCAGGAAGGTCAGTGTTTAGACTTGGTGTGGCCAACACGTGGGACGGGCTTTTACCTTCTGAGTGATGTGGTTGATCCAGGGAGAAGAGCAGTTGCTGAGATCAGGTCCTTGGGGCTCCCAGATCCCATCTGGTGCAAGACATCGGAAAGTTGCGACACCTGGAAGAGGAAAGCCACTGTATTCAGTGTTATTGTTTGCATTTTGCTCCCGGGACACAGTTTTCATTTCACAATGATGGACACCTCATGCAAAGCCTGGGAGCTTTATTAGCGCTCAGGACTTTGATGGGACACTTCTGAGTCATCTCAGTCTCCTAGTCTCCCATCATCTTGGTGCTTCAGGGCCTCAAGACAAAAGACCCATGAGGAAGTGCAGGGATATTATCTCCATTTGGCCAGATGGAGACTACAAGGGCTTTGCTTTAGCAGGAAAGCTGCCAGGGATCAAGAATTGGAAGGTGGATCTCAAACCCTAAGCCAGCACCTCGAGTTCTCTGCCCCACCACTGGCGCCCTGGGATCAGACCCTGCGCCTCGACTTCCATGCTGCTTTACAAAGATTTTACTGCTCGGAAGCATCATTAAACCATTGGGGTGGAGAAACACAAAAGTTTAAACGCTACAAATGCCAAGATGTAAAGCTGGGCTTTACTGTTCACCCCCAACCATCCAAAGGGACTTTAGAGGAGACTTTTGTTTGGCAAGGGCCACCCAGATCCCTCCTGGTAAAGACAGTAAAGCGCTTCAGGCCCTTCCAGACAAGGAGAAATGCATCCAAAATGGTGCAGTTAAAGATCTTTAAAAAGCAAGAAAGCTGGTACACTAGATTAAAGACATCCCATAAAGTGCTCTGCCCTGCAGAGTTGAACTTTTCAGCAGAGGAGTGAATTACAGGCGAGCTCTGGTGGTAGCGCTGATTAAAACCAGTGAGAGTTTGCTCATGCATTCAAAGGGAGTTGGAAGAGGCCCACTGCTAATATACCACAGCTTTTAACAAGTCACATGAATCACTGAAATTAGAGATGGGAAAGGCTTATTGCCATCCCCTATCAACAAGTTGGTTTTCTTCTTTTTTTCCTTAGCTATTTTCATCCAGTCTTTAGCTCTTGTGCTTAGAAAAGGCCTCCCTCAATCCAGCCTTCATTTTCCTTTTTCATCTTTTCTTTCCTTTTTCACAGCTTCACTTCAGTCTATCCTTTCCCCTCTCTCGGAGCACCACATGAGACTTTTTGCGTTAATTTTACCAAGTGGGGCTGTGAAAGACAGCAAAAACCTTCTTTACCTATTCTCATCACTGACATCTTTCCATGTCCCTCATATTTAACAAATATTTTATCTGTCTGACCTCACCAAACTCAAGAGGGAGTCGGTATTCATATACACAGGTGTGAATGGCTCTCCAGGGCAGCGGAGCAGAGAATTAACAGTCTCCTCTGCAAGCCAGATCCCTCTGGCCCTTACTTCAGGAAATTCCCTCCACCTTCTGATTTCTTCTCGGCAAGTGGGTTCTTGGGGCTGGGCACCAAGACTAGCTTGAGTAATAAATACTTTGGGAAAACTGCATTTGTTAAAATACAGCTGAACTGAACCATATGCCAAAACTCACTCTTCACTCGACTGTGTTTTAATTAGGACAGAAAATTTCCGAAAGCAACCTTTTGGAAGAAAATAATTGGGGGGAAGAGTGGAAAAAAAAGGAGCAAAATCCAATAAACAATAAAACATTTTGAAGGATTTGGCTTTGTTTCCCCCCCTGCTTTCCCTGCTGATCACGCTGGATGCTGGCTGCAATTTTAAAAATTCACTCATGCTGGTTCAGGAGTTTGATCTGGGAATACCTGTGGCCCGAAATGCTGGCCATGGGCTTTGAAATGCAAAGAGTGCAGCACAGAGCTTCAAAATGCAAGTTTTGTTTATTTCCTCCTGCCTCCCACTCAACAAAGCAGAGCATCAGCCATTGACACACCAGTGCTGATGGCAAAAGAAGAGGCTCTTACAGAGCACCAAGCTGAAGTCCACAAGGTTGCTAGCTTGTTTTCTTCTTCGGACAGAGCTTGGGATGCCAAAGGTCCTGCACAATGTTCTCACAATATTGAGGCTTCAGCCCAGGCCACCTGCTTGCCATAAGTCACCAAGGCAATATAGACAGAATCACAGAATCACATGGGGTTGGAAGGGACCTCTGGAGATCATCTAGTCCAACCCCCTGCCAAAGCAGGGCCACCCAGAGCAGGTCCCACAGGAACGTGTCCAGGTGGGGTTGGAATGTCTCCAGAGAAGGAGACTCCACCACCTCCCTGGGCAGCCTCTGCCAGAGCTCTGCCACCCTCAAAGTCAAGAAGTTCCTCCTCGTGTTGAGGTGGAACTTCTTCTATTCAAGTTTGTGCCCATTTCCTCTTGTCCTGTCCTTGGGCACCACTGAAAAAAGACCGGCCCCATCCTCTTGACACCCTCCCTTTAAGAATTTCTAAGCGTTGATCAGATCCCCCCTCCCAGACTAAAAAGCCCCAAGTCCCTCAGCCTCTCCTCATCAGAGAGATGCCCCAGGCCCCTCATCATCTTTGTAGCCTCTGCTGTCCCCTCTCCAGCAGTTCCCTGTCCTTCTGGAACTGGGGAGCCCAGAACTGGTCCCAGTGCTCCAGATGGGGCCTCCCCAGGGCAGAGCATAGAGGCAGGATGACCTCCCTCCACCTGCTGCTCACCCTCTTCCTGATGCATCCCAGGAGCTGACAAAAGGCATTGGTGTGATTCACTGATGAAACCATGTGTGTCACAGGGGCCCATGGGCAACCTGGTTGCTCATTCACAACATCCCAATGGCAAATGGAGGAGGCTCACTGTGTCCTCCTGCCCCTTGACTCACCTATGGAGCCCGTGGGACATGGCTGCTTCGCCACCTGGCCCTGCCGAGTCCGAGACCACATAATATCGCGGGCTTCCATGGGGTCACAGCTCTCCGCGCCGGCTGGTGGCAGCTGGGAGGAGGCAGGTGGGAGATGCGTGGTCATCTCATCAGGGATGTCAGCCATGGGCGATGGCGTGCTGGTGCTCCTGTTCCTCCTGCCTGAGGCCGAGGTGGTGGTGGGGCGGCCAGTGCTGCTGGTGGCCACCCGTGCCGTGGTGCTGGCGGTGGTGCTCCCCGGTCCCAAAGCTCCTGATGTTGATACTCCTGAAACAAAGAGAAGAAGGAAAAAAGGGATTCAATCCTTGGTCCTGAGGATGTCCTCTCTGCTGACCGCGGTGGCCTGCAGGGTGTAGCTGGAGCTACAGCTAAGGCAAGGTTTGCTGCACAGACACTTTCCAGGGAGATGCTGGAGCACACAGAGAGAGGTAATGACTGCTGGAGCACAACTGATTTTCCAAAAGCACTAGCATCTGATGAAAACAAAGCAGCATTTTATGCCCTCACCATTTTTCTTCCTGGCATTTTAATGTAAAAAATCTTATTTTCCATCTTTTAGGGAACACCCAGCACAGAAGTGCTTTTAATTTTTTAGTGTTGCTGAAGACCCAGCTGGTTTGGACAGCAAAACATTTTCCATGGTGTAATAATAATAAAAAAAAAAAAAACAACCCACACCACATCACAAATATCCATCCTCAAAACAGCAGCGCACGGAGGGGCAATCGCAAGGCTGCCCTTCAGAAAAGCCCTTCTTTTCTCTCAGGTTCATGCCTTGCTGCTTCATCCCAAAGCTGTGCAAAGACCCACATCAGCCCAGCCAAGTCCTTGAGACTTTGATGTTCAACAGACTATTTCATTTAAAACCTGTGAGGAGCAGTTGAGCAGCAAGAGGTGGGGAACCTGCTTTAGAAATGCATTAGCCCACCCCACACCCTGCAATAGCTAAGCACTGCGTGTGGTGAACATGGAGTGATGCCCACCTTATAATGACATCATTTCGTCTCCTATTTAGACCAAAGTGCTTGCATGGATTGGAGCTTCACATGGATTTCTTTATGGCTTGACCTTGAGGTTCAACAAGGCCAAGTGCCGGGTTGTGCCCTTGGGTCCCACCAACCCCCTGCAGCGCTCCAGGCTGGGGGCAGAGTGGCTGGAGCTGCCTGGCAGAAAAGGACCTGGGGGTGTTGGTGGCCTGTGGGCTGAACAGGAGCCAGCAGTGTGCCCAGGTGGCCAAGAAGGCCACCAGCATCCTGGCCTGGGTCAGGAACAGTGTGGGGAGTAGGACTCGGGAGGTGATGGTCCCCCTGGACTGGGCACTGGTGAGGCCTCACCTTGAGTACTGTGTCCAGTTTTGGGCCCCCTACCATAAAAAAGACATTGAGGGGCTGGAGCGGGTCCAAAGAAGGGCAACGGAGCTGGTGAGGGGTCTGGAGAATAAGTCTTATGAGGAGAGGCTGAGGGAGCTGGGGGTGTTCAGTCTGGAGAAGAGGAGGCTGAGGGGAGACCTTATTGCTCTCTCCAACTCCCTGAAAGGAGGGTGTAGAGAGGTGGGGGTCGGTCTCTTTTCTCAAGTCACAGGCGACAGGACAAGAGGAAATGGCCTCAAGTTGCACCAGGGGAGGTTCAGGCTGGATATTAGGAAAAATTTTTCTCCGAAAGGGTTCTCAGGCATTGGAATGGGCTGCCCAGGGAGGTGGTTGAGGCCCCATCCCTGGAGGTGTTCAAAAGACGGGTTGATGTAGTGCTGGGAGATATGGTTTAGTGATGGTGCTGCTGTTTGTTTGTTGTGCGGGTGTCTGTTTTGGTCAAAGTTAGGTTGACAGTTGGACAAGATGATCTTTAAGGTCCCTTCCAACCTAGAAGATTCTGTGATTCTGAGAATCATGGTCGCTCCACCTCCAGCAACACGAACTGGAGTTTCTACATTAAACACAGGTGCGTGTGAACTCCAGTCTAGCCAGAAATTATAATTAAATGTGAGAATCACCCTGTCACCCCAAGAAGGAGCCTCTTAACCATCCCACTCTTGAGCAAGCTCAGTCTGCAAGCTCCTAAGGGCAGAGACTGTCCTCTCTTTTAGGTCCAGTGAGGCAGACCACACTCACTATTTGTGCAATATGAGTTATTAATGTATAATGATATCGCCATCACTGGAGTTCATTCAAGTCAACCTATTTTAAGCCTGCCTTTAGTGCAAAATAGGAGTTTTTCCACTCTGAAAAGGTTTTTTTTTTTTGCTATTCAAGTAATTTAAGCCCACGGTGCTGTGAGCAATTCTTCTGCCCCAGAGAAATAAATAACATGGCAGTTGAAGCACACACTTATTCTGGTTTTAGGTAATTTTACTGCAAGCCTGAGACATCCTCACCTCAACCTTTAGAACTCAACAGCAGCACAAACATAATTTTCTGAGGGATCAGTATTTTTCAAGAAAATGTTCAGTTTAAAAATCCCAGCTTTACCATTTCTCAGCAAATCTTTTCCCCCCCATCTCCAAAAGGGTGAGCGATAGTGCAACACAGACTAAACCACCTGAGCACCAGGGCACTGACCCCAAATTACCTCTCCTGAGCTCAATGATCAAATTTTCCAGCCCTCTCATGCCACCTCCCTTCCACGATGAGGCCTGAGTTTGAATGAACTCAAAAAAAAAAAAAAATACAATGCAAAATTCTGCAGATGTTGACAGATTTCTTCTTGTTTCTGGTCAAAGCTGTGCTAAATCACCAAGCAATGATTTCCACCTGCTTCCACAGGAAGCATTAAAGTTGTAGACAACTTTGGCAAATATTATCTTATCATAAAATACTATATTTTTACTACAGCAGGTCTTCCCATGAGTACTTATTTTATTTCTTCATAATAATGATTAGACTGGTAGATAACAACCTGCAGAAAATTTCCCATTTACTTATGGAATAACAAGTTATTTTATATTTGCAAAAATGACCTATGTTGTGCACTACAGGTGCAGAGGTACCAAGTAGATACAGCAGATGCAGTTTCAAAGCCAAAACCAGCAAACCCCCTTAAAATCATTCTTAGGGTAATTTGGGAACAGATAGAAACATACACTGAGCACGTGGGAGATCCCCTTGATCCACACACAGGGATGCTGCATTTTTCAGCATAGTTTTGATTGACAATCATTTAATGATTAATGAGGGTACTGAGGGATATGGTGTAGGGGAGGACTTTGTAGAGTTGGGTAGATGGTTGGACTCGATGATCCCAGGGGTCTCTTCCAACCTCAATGATTCTATGATTCTATGATTCTATAATATCTCATGGCATGTTGGTTTGGGAATGGCTCTGGCAAGTTCACTGTAGCAACTAGGCACAAGGGATTTAATCGTATTTTCTTTTATGGTATTCTATTAATTTATTTAATACCATTTCATTAATTGTATTAATTTCTTTAATACTATATTAAATGGTATTTTCCTGGGGTGCATCAGGAAGAGGGTGACCAGCAGATGGAGGGAGGTCATCCTGCCCCTCTGCTCTGCCCTGGGGAGGCCCCATCTGGAGCACTGGGACCAGTTCTGGGCTCCCCAGTTCCAGAAGGACAGGGAACTGCTGGAGAGGGGACAGCAGAGGCTACAGAGATGATGAGGGGCCTGGAACATCTCCCTTACGAGGAGAGGCTGAGGGACTTGGGGCTTTTTAGTCTGGAGAAGAGAAGGCTGAGGGGGGATCTGATCAATGCTTATAAACACTTCAAGGGAGGGTGTCAGGAGGATGGGGCTGGTCTTTTTTCAGTGGTGCCCAGGGACAGGACAAGAGGAAATGGGCACAAACTTGAACATAAGAAGTTCCACCTAAACACGAGGAGGAACTTCTCTCCTGTGAGGGTGTCAGAGCCCTGGCAGAGGCTGCCCAGGGAGGTGGTGGAGTCTCCTTCTCTGGAGACGTTCCAAACCTGCCTGGACACGTTCCTGCTCTAGGTGGACCTGCTCTGGCAGGGGGTTGGAGGAGATGATCTCCAGAGGTCCCTTCCAGCCCCATGTAATTTTGTGATTCTGCGATTCTTTTAGCCTTAAAAATTAGTTGTGTTTTCTTTCATACGCTCCTTGGCAATAGTGTCAAATTCTCTGTAAGGGCTTTTTCTTTCAACTTTTTTCTTGTTTAACTGGGCTTTATTGCTGCTTTTCAAAATAAACACCTCCACCATTTACACAGGACAAATTATAAGAAGACCTAAAAGAGCTGTGCCTCGCAGTGGCCTAGGAGAGTGAGATGGACGGGATTCCACTGAACTCAAGTTCAAAGGTCTGATTTTTCCACGAGTCAATTTGGTAATGAGCTTCACCGAACATGGTCACCACGCTGACACCACCCCATTTCACCCACCCCGGGGCAGTACCACTTGCCGATTTTGCTCACCCAACTGTGTGCTTTAAAACAAAGTTAATTGCTAAGAAGGGAAAGAACAAGAGATCAGGGTCATTTACATATAAATGATTCTCAAATCCAAGCAAAGCCACGAAGAGACTGCAACCTGTGCAAAATTACCTAAATCCTACAGCACAGAACAGAGATCAAGCCTCCAGATTAGCTCAGACTGCCAATAAACTGAATTTTTAACTCAGGGAAAAGCAGCATTGCAGCATTTCTTTACCACAAGGATTCTTCAGATAATACTTCATAATACCATCTTTGCTTACAGACAAGCAGAAACCATTAAAAATCATCAACGCTACTACAACTAGAAATGTATGATTTTGAGTATTCTACTTTTCCTACTTGTTTTTACCACGTGTTGCCATATCAAGAGTTTAAAGCCAGCTTTTTTGGGTAAAACTCAGTTTTTACTCCTGGGCTTCAAATCCAAGACGTCGATCCCACAAAGCACGGTGCTGGGACGGGTGTTTTCACAGGGCTCCCTGTAAAGCAAACTGTGGCTGTGGAAACACCTCTCCCCCAGAAAACTTCACTTTTTTCTTCCCAGCTTTACCTAGAGATCTGGCACTAACAGCAGGAGACTAAGTTCTGCCATTGTTTGCAATAGAGCTGCAACTATATAAAAAATCCCCAAACATTTCCAGTGTCCACAGGGGAGTAATTGCAACTCCCAGAGGAGCCTCTCTACTCCGGACACATTGACTAGCAAGAAAAAGAAATTGTTAGGGTTTTTTTTTTTTTTTTTTTCCGTCTTTCTTTTATTTCCCAACTTTTACAGAGAGCCCGGGCCTCTGGAGGAGGAATTTTGCTTGACTGAAGGAAAATCATAGGAAGGATTTGCTCGTGGGGAAAAATCTTAA